GCTAAAGAGGATAAAATTTAAAAAAGAAAACTAATTTAACAATTGTGGGAAAGGATGCAGAGAAATGGGACCTCTCAGTGACCATTGATTGGAATGTAATCGAGTAAAGTCACAATAAAAAACAGAATGCAGTTTCCTGAATAAATAGAAAATAGAACTACCATAGCACTCAGATTTCCAACTACTGGGTATATAACCCCACCCCCAAAATAAAAAGAAATCATTGTATCAGAGATACCTGTGCTCCCTTGGATATTATAGCACTATTCACAATAGTCATAATGTACCATATTTGCTGTAACAAGAATGGAATTGGAATATAAGTCAAATGAAGTAGGAACCAAAAGAAAAAAATATTATCTGTTATCATATTCATGTGGAATCTAAAAGAGTTGATTCCATAGAAGGAGAGAACAGAATAGTGCTAACTAGAGTCTGGGAAGGGAGGGAGGGAGTGGGAATAGAAAGAGGTCAGATAACAGGTACCAACCTACAGATAGATAGGAGGAATAAATACTGTTCTTCGTACAAAAAGATGAGTATGGTCAACAAAAACTTCTGATAGGTCTTCAGAGTACTAGAAGAGTAGAGATTGATGGTTGCCCTGATTTTGTTGCTATATATTATACACATGTAACAAATTATTATACTCTACTCAATAAATGTGTTCCAATAAAATAATAGTTTCAGAAATTTTAGATAACATATTGCATTGAAGTATTTTAACATATTTTTCAAATTCATTATTATTTTCTTCTGTGGATTTCCTCATATTTGTAAAAGTTATTTTTGTTAGATTTAGCTATGTAGTAAAAGTTTTTTTTAGTATCTCATTGTTTTACTAATAACTACTTGTGTTAATTTGAAATTTTAAAATAGCTGGTTGAGAGGAAAAGCATACTTCACAGTAGTTAAATCAATTCAATTCTTCAAAACTAGACTCAAAATAGGATGAAATCAATTTCTATTGTTAAGAGAACCTGTCTCAAATGTTACCTAATTGAAAAAAAAGATATACTCACGAAGGGTCATCAATGACTGTCTTCAATGCATTGAGAAGGTCTGTACTTGACATGGTGGTAAAGTCCACTCTAACAGCTGCTCCCTTGGCCTGCATATGAACAATGTTATCATACTGATCCGCAAATAAAGGAATGCCCACCATAGGGATCCCATGATAGATTGCCTCATAGATACCATTGGTTCCACCATGAGTTATGAAAGCTTTGGTTTTTGGATGACCTGGCATGGGGAGAATTTAAGGAAATTATTGATTATAATAAATAAAATGAGAAAACAGAATAGAAAGCACTGAAAAATGAAATGTTTTCTAAATAACATTATTAAAACCATGAAAGTACATTGAAATTGCTTTCAAATCTCAAGCAAGAAGCACCTAAGTCCATTGAGAGGTAAGTGAAGGCTGCCCAGAAGAGGTTGTCTGACTTGAAACTTGTAAAATCAAAACAAGTTGCTAAGTGAATAAAAGATAGAACATATTCTCAGTAGAAGAAGTAATATGTGTAAACTTATAGGAGAAGACATTAGAGAACATGTGTTCTCATAAAAAAAATAGCTAAGCCACTGAGTGTAATACATGGGATGACCAAGGCAGCAGAAAGTGGTGTATTTGTGTGCTGGAGTCAAAGGTAGGACTGGCTGCACTTCCTCATGAACTGTGTACTACTTTATGATTTTTTTTGGCATGGAAAATGCAGAGGCAGTTATAATAAAAGAGTTTCATTTTGCCTTGAAACTTGAAATAGTTCTGCTTTAGGTGTAAAGTTGCAGCAATAGGAGACAAAGAGAAAAATCTAGCAAGTGACTGAAAAATTCTGTGAGACTTAATTACACATGAAATAACAATTCTAGAATTCTGGACATAAAGAATATATAATGAAATGTGTATAATGAAATGCCAACTTCTGTTCTTAATTCTCCTGTCCTCTAGTACTTAAAAGTAAATATAAAGAAGTTATTTTTCAGTTTTTAATAATAAATTTTCATAAATTTATTTACTACTGAACTGTTATCTACAGATTGGCTGATGCCATATTTTCATGGTTTATTCTCCAGTCTTACCAAGAAGGTCATTTTGGGGGATCCACTTGTACAGCTGAGTATTTGGCCCTAAGGTGTCAGGTTTCTTGCCATCATATCTCCATACAACCTGTTATGGGTAGAGAAAAACTTTATTACTTGAATCAAATTTCAATTATTCATATTAGAACTATGAAGAGATTAAGAAATAATCTACCTAATACATGACAGATAAGGAAATGAGAAAAAGAAATGATAAAAAATGGGAACAACTGAAAAGGTGTTAGGAATAGAGTACACTGTTTTCCTGTATTTATTTTTCATATGTAATCAAGTTATTACATGCTCTCTTGATATTTTATGAATTGTGGCTTAGGCAAATGTGTGTTTTGATATCAAGTATTAGTATTTAAAAAGTTGAGCTATTATAGTTCTAATCTACAAATTGTATTAGTGACCTGTACATTTATTTTGTTTTACATATCTTTTATATTAGTTCTAATCTACTGAGTGTAATATCAACTTTTTATTACAGTCCTATTTGAGGAAATTTACTTATCACTTTAAAAAATCTTTTTACATTCATACTTTATTAGCATATAATAGTTTTATAGGGAGGCTACATTGTGACATTTACGTATGTGCTTAGAATATATCTTAATTATTAACCCTCTCTATTGTTCTCTCACCCCAACCCTCTTGTTAGAACAGTTTCAACAAGTTTCATTGTTCTATTTTCATATATGAATACAAAGTACATCCGTCATATTCACCCTCATTCACCCTTTCCTTATTCCCTACCCCTTCCTATGGAAAGGACCTGTTTACTTTCCTGTCCTTGATTTTTTAAAGTGCGTATTGACAGTTCAAGGGGGTTCTGCCTTGTAATTTCAGACAGGTATATATTGTGCTTTAATCAGAGTAACCCCTCACTATTACTTAATCCTTTTCTATTGCTTTGGTTCCCTATTATTCAAAAGCTTATAGTGCATTGTATTATATAATCTGAATACATAGATGCAATATTTTAATATTTTTCATTCTCTAATATTTTCTCTTCCTCTCTTGCCTTCCCACAGTCCCCTCAGGCAGACCCACTAATACAATCATGTCCTCTCTCTCTCTAAATATGTATATATATATATGTGTGTATGAGATGATATATGTATTTATATGTGCATTTATATTGTAGATCTAGCTTCCAAATACAAGGGAAAACATGTGACCATTAATCTTTTGAGCCTGGCTTACTTCACTTCACATGATGTTCTCCATTTCCATCCATTTACCTACAAAGAACATAATTTAATTCTTCTTTATGTCTGAATAATACTCTATTGTGTATATACACCACATTTTCTCAATCTATTCATCAGTTGTGGGCACCCGGTCTGTTTTCAAAGCTTGACTATTGTGAATAGTGCTGCTATAAACATGGGTGCGCAAGTGGCTTTATCGTATCCTGGACCACATTTCTTCGGGTGTATGCCCAGGAGTGATATCCCTGGATAATATGGTGGTTTTATTTTTAGTGTTTTGAGGAACCTCCATACCGCTTCCCACAGTGGTTGTCCTAATTTGCATTTCCACCAACAGCATAAAAGAGTTCCTTTTTCCCCTGCTTCTTTGCCATCATTTGTTGTTATTTTTGTTATTGAGGATAGCCATTTTGACTGGGGTGAGGTAAAATATCAGTGTCATTTTGATTTGCATTTCCTTTATGGCCAAGCCTGCTGAGCATTTCTTCATGTATTTATTGGCCTTTTGTACTTCTTTTGAGAATTACCTGTTCAGTTCATTTGCCCATTTACTCAGTGGGTTGTTGATCCTTTATAAAGTTAGTTTTTTGAGTTCCTTGTATAATCTGGTTATTAATCCCTTGTCAGATGTATAGTTGACAAAGGTTTTCTGTAGGCTGTCTCTTCAATCCAGTGAATGTTTCCTTTGTTGTGCAGAAGGTTTTTAGTTTGATGTAGTCCAATTTGTCAATCTTTCCTCTTAATTGCTGAGCTATTGGAGTTCGATTCATGAAGTTAGTACCTATGCCTATGTGATCCTTTATATTCTCTATTTTTTTCCTGGAGAAATTTCATCATTTCAGATCTTTGAACCACTCTGAATTGATACTAGTACAAGGTGAGAGACTGGGATCTAGTTTCAGTCTTCTGCAGGTGGATATTCAGTTTTCCCAACACTATTTGTTGAAAAGGCTTTTTCTCTAAAGCACATTTTGGCTCCTTTGACTAAAATCAAATGGCTGTAGCTGCATGAGTTTGTGTCTGGATCTTCTATAGTATTCCACTGGTCTTCATGTCTGTTTGTGTGCCAGCACCATGCTGCTTTTATTACTATTATTCTATAATGTAGTTTGAAGTCTGTTTTTGTGATACCTCCAGTGTTGCTCTTTTTCGCTCAGGATTGTTTGTCTATTTGAGGTCTTTTGTGCTTCCATATTAATTTTAGGGCTGACTTTTATATCTTGGGGAACAATGTCATTGGAATTTTGAGAGATATTGCATTGAGCATATAGATTGCTTTTGATAGTATACACATTTTCACAATATTGAGTCTGCTGATCCTTGAGCATGGGATGTCCTTCCATCTTCTAATGTCTTCCTTGGTTTCTTTCTTTAGTGATATAATTTTCAATATATAGGTCTTTCACCTCCTTTATTAATTTTATTGCTAGGAGGGACTGGAGCATGTATCAAGTGGCAGAGTACTTGCTTGGCAAGCACAAGGTCCTGAGTACAATCCCCAGTGCTATGCACAAAAAATTATTCTTAGGTATTTTAACTTTTTTGGAGCTATTACAAATGGTATTGCTTTCCTGGTGTCATTCTCTTTTTATTCGTGTTGGCTCTTTGGGGACATTTTTAATACACAGGGTCCACATTAGGGACAAGGTTCTATTTCCACCCTTTCTCCTACATTTTCCTTTTTTCAGACATTAATAGGACCAAGCTCACAGGGTGGACTGTTTTTTCTTTCTCAACATCTTTTTGGTTGTCGGGTACCTGGACTCAAGGCTATTAAGCCCTGACTTTCCTTTTTCACGATAGCACCATAAAGAGTAGTATGAATAAACCCTATCTAACATTTAAGAGAGAAAATGAGATTGAAATTATATAAGAATATGATATATGATGCAATTCTCACTTTTGAGTACCTGCTTGTTTTTATTGTTCTGGTGCAGTTACTAATTAAAATTTAACTCTATTCTGATTGCATCTGTGTTGTATACAGAGTCCTCAGTACTTCTGGAAGAAAAAGGAAGAAATGACCATGCAGAATGTGGTGATTTTTGAATATCTGCCTATAACACCATTTTAGCACCAAGTTCACACTACATCTGGTAAATGTATTTCTTTCTGTACACAATGTTAATACCAAAGTTATTATTAATAAAAAATCTTCTGATTATTTTAGCATCTGTCACTTACATTTTTGTGCTAAAGTTGATTTGTTATAAATTACAGCTACTGCAACAGTTTACCTTTCACACAGAAAATTTTTGTAATCAGACTCTTCACAGAATTTAAAAAACTCATTTTGTAGTTGTTCATCATTAAAACATTCTAGCTAACCTTTTGTGGGATCTGTGCAAAGGCTGATGCAATCATGTTGGCCCTTTCTTCTGTCATGTTGCTGATCATTGACCCAAGAGAAAACACTACAACACCATTTTCTTCAGAGCTCTGGACAAAGTCTTCCATTTCCTGTAAAGAAAAACTGATCCATCACAAAAGAGAAACAGCAGCATAAAGACTATTGTAAGTATTGGCACAATCCTCTATCAAATCTTCGTATCAAGGATTACCAAGAATTTAAAATTAGAGTGTTGTCTCTTTTTAAAATTAAGTTAAAATATACATTTAAAGACTTATAATCATTTCTAAGGTGTACAGTTTACTGAAGTTGCACACATTCACATTCTACACTTGATCTTAGCCAAAGGTCTGAGAAGTGATGTACATATTCACATTCTTATGCAAACCATCTCCAGAACATTTTCATATGGCAAAATTTATAGAAATTAAAACAAAAAAAAATTTCTCCCTTCCCTGATCCCTTGGCTACCATACTTCTACTTTCTGTTTCCATGATTTTGACTAGTCTAAGTACTTCATATGAGTAGATTAACATAGTATTTATCTTTTTGACTGATTCATTTTACTTAGTGTAATGTCATCAAGGTTCTTAAATGTCCCAATTTCCAAGTTTTAAAGGCTTAGTAATACTAACTTGTATGCATATACTACATATTTTTAACCCTATATTTAACAAATATCAGAAAAATTTTCTTTCATAGATATTTATGATGCTACATCTCAGAAAAGGTCAGCTTTTTCATTGGAGTTCTGAACCTCTCAACCAGGACAGTAAGTATGAATATGTGAAGGTTTTGTCTTCACTCCTGCGTTGTTCATTGGCTATCAGTTACTTAGTGAAACTTCTGAACTGCAGCTCTGGAGAAACATCTGTAGAAGCTGGTGAAAATAGATTTTGATTGTTCTGAATCTCACTCTTCTGTATAAACTAAATTAGAATTCAAGAGAAAAAGACCTTAGGTTAGTTTCCTAGATGTCTCAGTTTGAAGGAATATAGACCATGACAAGTAGAAACTAGTGCTGTTTATAGGCTTGTTTGATTGAATGATACCTGATTCATTGGAAATCCTACTTAGTGACTGTTTTTTCTGGGATGGAAATTATTCCCTGGGAACTGGGGTAGAAAATTTTGCTTGGTTCATTCTGAGGTCTGTGTGTTACTTCTCCTGTGGGAACCACAGTCAAACAAAAACTTCTTTTCAATCTCTTGGTGACTTTCAGCCAGTGCGCCCTTGCTTCTTTCTTGGTGATGTGATTTTATATAGATAAGTTGGAACTTTATGGCTGATTAGGAAAACTTAATATATTTCCAAACCTATTTTTTTGAAATCTCTTCCTTCCATCATCTCTGCCTCTTCTTCCATTACCACATTCATTTTTCCTCTCAGTCCCCTTGCACGCTTTGATGTGCCCCCTTGGAAGTTCTCTCTTTCTTCCTTGTCTCCATTGTCACACTTTTCACTTCCCACTTTAGCCTCTAGGCTCTTACAGTCACTTTTTCCTCTCACCCAATAGATGGGCTTCAAAGGACTCAGGGTCCCCCAAAATTTCTATTTGATGTTGAAATGAAAAAGGTTAATTACAAATAGATTGAACGTATTATCCACTCAGATTAGATTAGAAAACATCTAGAGAGCTGCAAAATGTCTGTTTCTTTAGTCTAAAATACAGCCCACAGCCTCCATAGGGTAAGCCCTCTATATGAAAAGAAAACACTCTTGAGTATTCATTCAAAAACTTACTCCTCCTTGAGCAGATAGTCTTAACTTCTCATCTTTGTCAGAAGCACAATGTGGATGAAACATAATATAAAGTAAAGTAGTGAGCCTTGTAGCAGTGTTGCCTGATTCAGGACTAAAATTTTAGAACAAAATCTACACAATCTCTGTGTCTGTTCATTCTTTTATGTATATATGTTTCTGTATATATGTAGGTTATGTGTAAGTAATATTATTTTTGGATTACTGAAATAGGACTACTAATTAATCTTAAAGAATCTGTGAATGAATTTCTATTCTAACTGACTTAGAGTTAAATGAGCACTTACATGCATATAGCTAAAACTCCCCAAATATAGAAAAAATGAAATGTTTTCATGTGCACATGCATGAATTGAGTAAATCTTTGATAAATAAAATTAGTTTGATATTACTGGTTTACTGAAACAGCTTTTTAAAAATTATCAATGAAGGTATAATATAGGCATATATATTTATTCTACATAGGTTTACCAGTCATATGGGACTAACAGGGAAATAACTTGAGATGGCCAGCTTTCTTAAGTATTATGTTTTCCTAAAACCTGCTTTCAAAATCTTTTTGGTAACTTGATACCTTAGACATATACTAAGTCAAATTAAGTCAGATGTGTTTATTAAATATCTATCCCATTTCCAAGTATGATTAACCACTGAAGCACTAATTAGTGCCATGTAAGTATGCATTCATATACTTTTGACATATAGGTTTTAATCTTAATATATTTGGTTCTGCTCATAAGCCTAAAGAAATATGGTATGATGAAGCAGCTCTATAAGAATATACATATTATAGAATTTTTCTTATCAAATGAGCGGTCATCAAGAAGTTCACAGTCTCATGAAGCTGTTAGTTCTAGATCAAACTGAAAGAAAAATTAATTACTTGAGAATGAATTACTGGATGAAGATGGATTAAAATTTTTATGGCCTTTCTTTTGCAGCTGCTGCTTTTTAAAGTTTCATTTTCAAGATACCTTTCTTTTCTTTTCACTTTAAACATTTTAATAAATAACGAATTGGTTATACTTTTGTGACTAGAAAGTAAACATTCACTTACTTATTTCTCCCTCATCTTTGCTATGCTACATGCTCTTTTTTTCATGGCAATACAATTATTTGCATGAGTTCAATAAGAATGTGTATTTCTTGCACCTAATAAAAATAGCAAACATTGGTTTTATTACCACTGTTTTGATTGGAATGTTATAATGAGAATGAAGTACATAGTATGAAATTTTAAGAACTAAAGTTGAATTTATGGAGTCAATACTTAACAACTCCTCTTTGTGAAAAATGGCTTGGTGCCTGGTTTACAAGGTTCCTTATTTTATACATTGGTAAGCAATGTCATTTCTTGTCAGGTCCAGAGAACTAAAGAGATCTTGGGGGACCTCAAGAAAAGGGGAATTTACCCAAAATCTACTGGTACTAAAGGTGAAATCTGATTCTGGAATGGCTCTCAATTCTTGGGTGGATTTTAGAAATGTACTTTAAGGTCCTTTGTAAAAAGATTTAGCAGGAAAACTCAAAAAAGACTGTATGGCCAGTAATCATTCTTGCTGTGTGAGGTAAATTATCATACTAATCCAATGAAACCAGATTCATTTTGTAAGGAAGAATAACCTTACTTGTTTATAATTGGTCAGAAATGGGGTTAATTGCATATAAATTTTATGTTTCAATGACCTACCATACTTTATCTTACTGTCTTATATTAACTTACAAATCTCAGTGAGTCACGTATTTGTTCTTACCAGATTTTATTTTATTTTTTTGCAAAAGTGGGATTTGAACCAAGGGCCTTTGACTTACTAAGAAAGTGTGTTACCATTTGAGCAATGCCCCTACCCTTTTTCCTTTAGTTTGTTTTTGGATAGGACCTCTTGCTTTTGCCCAGATTTGGCCTCAGACTGCAATCCTCTTATCTTTACCTCCTGAGTATCTGGGATTATAGCCATGAGCCACTACAACTTGCTTGATTTTTCAGACAAGGTTTTTCTGATTTTTTGTTTGTGCTGATCTTGAACTATGCTCCTTCCAATTTCTACTTCCTGAGTGATAGAATTGTAGGCATGGGCCACCATGCCTGCTCTTTACTAACTAAGTCTTTTGTTTCACTTGCCTCCAGTATGTGGCTCTAACTCATAGGCATAAAGTTTCTAGCTTTTCTTCTGTCCTCCAAAATTAGCCTATAAAAAACAATATTCTGACTTTCCAGATAGTTATTTTGACTTTCTAAAGAAACCCCACCAGCTGAAGAAGTGTGTTTCTAATATCTGAGAAATAACCACGACTCTGAGTTGATATTGTTGCCATCATCAAATAGATCTTAAACTACATACTAAGAAATTTGCTTATGGTCTCAACCATTTCCACTCTATTAACTGTAGATGTTTTGGGACAAAGTCTAGAACTCTCAATTGACTGTTCTCTTCAATCACACATTGGGCTTCCAATGATTAATCTTTGCTTCTCTTTTGTTTTCAAGGAAATTTACTTAATTATATATCTGACTGCTAACACCATGGTGCACACAGTCTCTGCTGTACCAAGTCTCAACAAAATGCTGAGCAGGTCTTTAGTAAACAGAAGGTAATTAGATGAGCAAATAGATTTCTACTGTTCAGAGGAAAGAGGACTGGTTCTTGCTTTCATTGACTGAGGGAAAGAACTGGTGAAGATTCTCTCCTTGACCAAAGTATCTGTGGTTGGGCACTTTTGATCTCTCTTCTCCTCTAGGTCCTGACTATGGGCTCCTCTATTGTTCTCTGCAATGTCCAGTTTTAGCAACAATCCTGCTAAGTCAGGATAATTAGAATCCTTAACCTATATATCTGGTACCACTCCTCAGTGATGTCTGAACACCCTGTCCTGTCTTAACTAAGAACTTTGTTATGTTGGCTTGGCCAGGCTCTCCAACAACCCTTGTTCTAGTAAATTTTCATTCACTGATCCCTACCTTGATGCTTGGCTATAAATCTTTTCTTTTCCTTGTTGAATTCAGAAGCAAGCTTGATGTTTCTTTACTCTCAACAACCCCCCACCATGATAGTAGTTCTTACATGTATTGGGATAATTCTTAATAAAGTCTGCTTTATTTATTTATTTATTTAATTTTATATTATTTTATTTATTTATTTATTTTATTCATAATAACAAGTATTATGAATAATTTTTATCTAGTTCTAGTGAGGTAGAAATTGTTAGAAATCCTTGTACCCATTTGGAGACTAAGGCAGGAAGATCATGAGTTTCAGGCCAGACTGGGCTATAAGTTAAAACCCTGTCTCAAAAAAAAAATCCTTGTACTTATAACCTTCATTTATCACATTATTATTTACTAGTATCTAGTATGTATTCTTGGAAGGCAACATACTATAAGATCTAATCTCACCTTTAATTATTCATCTGTATTACTTATTTTTTCTAGGCAGTTTATCTGTAAAAATGTAAAATTTTGTCATTAGTCTTTCATTTCTTTGTGAGTATGAATAGAAATTTAAATGTAATTGAGAACACTTTTTACTTATGTTTCTCTCTACTGTAATATTCTTTATAGCTTGGCTTAAATTTTGTTGGAATTTCCCCCTAAGTAATTCTTTACAGTTGGGAGTTTAAGAATCACTGAAATTCAGAAGTCTGAAAATGTGGTTTGGATTTGCTGTGAAATAGTCCTATTAATGCTCTAGTAGTAGAAGTGAGTAGGTAGCAAAGTGGATTAAGGACCTTAATGTCAGACCTGAAACCTTGAAGCTAGTGCAGGAAAGAGCAGGGAATACAATGGAAGCAATAGGCATAAGCAATGACTTTCTCAGAAGTCCAAATGGTTCTTAAACTAAGAGAAGGGATTGACAAATAGGACTACATGAAATTAAAAAGCTTCTGTACAACAAAAGAAGTGATCACTAAATTGAAGAGTCTGCTAACACAGTGGGAGATAAATCTTTGCCAGCTATATATCAGACAACTGATTGATAACAAGAAGATGCAGGAAGCTCAAAAAACTAAACTTCCAAGAAGTCAATGACCCAATGAAGAAATGGGCAAATGAACTGAACAGAGCCTTTTCAAAGGAAGAAGTCCAAATGACTAAAAAAACACATGAAAAAATGCTCACCATTCCTGGCCATAAAGGGAATGCAAATCAAAACTATATTAAGATTCCACCTCACTCCTGTTAGCATAACTACCACCAAGAACACAAACAACAACAAATGTTGGTGAAGATGTAGGGAAAAAGGAACCCTCATATACTACTGGTGGGAATGTAAATTAGTACAGCCATATGGGAAACAGTATGTAGGCTCCTCAAAAACTAAATAGAACTGTCATATTATCCAGCAATACCACTCCTAGGGATATACCTGAAGGAATGTGAGTGAGGTTATAACAAAGGCAACTGCACACACGTGTTTACTGCAACACTAATTCACAGTAGCTAAGCTATGGAAATGGCCAAGATGCCCCATTACTGATGAATGGATTAAGAAAATGTGGTATTTATATACAATGGAATTTTACTCAGAGAAGAATGAAATTTTGTCATTTGTAGGTAAATGAATGGAACTGGAGAATATCATTATAAATGAAGTTAGCCAGGATCAGAAGGCCAAAAGCCACATGTTCTCTCTTCTATGTGGAATATAGATCTAATACAAATACAGCAATATTATGAAAAACTGGTCACACTAAGGGAGGTCACATAGGAGAGGGATAGGGTAAAAGAAGGAAACTAAGAAGATGAATTTGGTTGATATAATCTATACAAGAATGAACATAGAATTCTGAAATAAGATAAAACCACCATAAGAAGGGGACTAAGGTAGAAAGAAGAAAAATAAAGAGATGAACCAATTGGGGTTGCAATGCATATATACATGGAAATATCATAAGGAAACTCCCTGTGTAGCTACCTTTACCTCAAACTAGCAAAAATTTCATTTTTTCTTTTTTCTTCTACAAAATCAGGGAACAGGAGGGCAGAGCACGATTTGCAGGAGTGGAGGGGGTTGGCACCAGGTGAGGAGGGGTGGCTGGGAAAGGGGGTAGGAGGGTGAATACAGTACAAAAAATGTGTACACATGCATGTAAATGTAAAAATGATACCTGTTGAAACCATTCCAGGAATTGGGGGAGGGAGGCATAAAGGAGATCTGTGGAGGAGGTGAATTCAAGTATGATATGTTTGATACATTGTAAGAACTTTTGTAAATGCACAATGTACTCCCACCTAGCAAAGCAATTTTAAGAAGTACAAGAAAAAAATGAGTAGCTAGGTGTTTGAGTGAACATATTTCTGCATTTGTTTGTTTATGACACATTTTTCTTTGAAGTCACATTGTAAAATTGATGTTCCAATAGAATGTCTGTGTATAACTGGCTTTGAGGTACTCCTGTCGTTACCTCACAGCGTCCTGTAGAAAAACCTACTACCTTAATGGGAGATTCTCCATTGGCGATCAGGTCACCCTCTAAAGTAACTCCATACTTTAGGAAGGTTCCTGGTAAAGACATTTTTTTTCTGGAATTGTTTGAGAATAATTCTAATATGTGGTTCCTGATCCTTGCATTCTATATTGCCAAATTGAATTCAACTTAATAAACTTTCCTGCCAAAAAATGAAATGGAGAGCCAAAAATGTCTTGGAAATCTTGTAAAACCACATGCTAATTTTTGTTCTTTCAGTTTTCAATTGATTCTTTCCTCTTTTCTTTCTATAAAATATTGACCACAACTTGCCAACCTATGTACTATATGTCTCTTCCTAATCCTTGGCTAAGCTTTGTTTCAGAAAAGTTTTATAGAAAGAACATCCTTGACTCACATGGTTCACCCAATTATTCAATATGACTCTTTACTTGCAGCACTATTTAGTCACTCATATTTAACATTTTATTCAATGTGTCATCTCATTTGATGCTTTCTTAAAGCCTCCTGGAAGAAATGGAATTTATTTTCCTGTACTATTAACCAGTACAACCTCTTTTTATAGATTAATCACTAACATGGTCTGCTTATTCTCATTCTATATCATCTTATGTAAATGTAAAATGTTCATTATAAGAAAAATCAGAAAAGTATTAAAAATTTAATAAAGATAATAAGATTTACTTATAATCTCAATGCAATGATATTCCTTGTTTAAAATTTATGTCTTTTGGTGCTGGGGATATGGTTCAGTGATAGAGTATATGCTTCAATGTGCATGGTTTTGACCCCAGCAAATACACATAGCAAATAATTTGTATACCGTCCTTTATTCTATTCATATAATTAAATGTGTATATGTGGGATAGTTGTATACCTCAATGGTAGAGCTCTTGCCTAACATATGTGAGGCCCTGGGTTCTATTCCATCAACACCCTTCCCACATACACAGAAAGGATATATATGACATATATTTAGGAAGCTGCAATCCTATCATATATACTTTTTAATCCTGCAATAAAATTGTATTCTTATAATATTTTTCATTTTGCTCCCTATTTTCCAAGTAAATCTATATTAAGGCTGACAGTATAGTTAAGTATTCTTTGATAAAATGATTATGATAGTATTACAGGCACAGTATACATTTAAAATTATTCCTTCTATATCTGAATTACTTAAATGCTTCTTTTATGAGTAATTTTGCTGTGGATATTATATACATCTTGATTATTTTTCTGTATAATTGCATGAGTTTCTCATCAAACAAATGGCAATATACATTTTTCTTTTTCTCTTTTTTTGTAATTAAAAATCAATTATCTCATAAATGTTGCACACATTTATGGGATATAGTGAGATATTTTGATACATGTACACAATATGTAATGACTGAATCAAGGTAGTTAGCATATTCAGCAAATGAAATATTTCTCAGTGTTTAGGTTGAGGGCATTCCAAACACTCTTTCAGCTATTTTGAAATGTATAACATTTAAAATGTGCATTTTTCAGATTCTTGATGCATTTTGCTAAATACCCTATTCTTCCAAATACACAGAAGTTTTGGAGAATTTAATAATTAGTAGAAAGTAAGTACTTCGCAATGATTGACTTGAATTAAAATCTTTTTTGTAACTTCCATACAATCTCTACTTCTCCTATTACCATGGTTAGACCACTATCTCTCCTTGCTCCTCCCTCTGTATCTCTCTGCCTACCCTTCTTATTGACACTGTCATTTACACTTAATGTGAAAGGAGAGATCTATTAAGAATAAGGTTGGACTACATAGAATTTCATTAGTTTTAGCTTTGCTTTTGAAATTGTGAGTTGCCATACATAGCCTCAAAAATTGACCTTGAAAACAGACACTGAGTTTTAAATTCTGAATAAGATTAGATTTATGTTGTTATCAATCCAAAGGTAGATAAAAGGGGTCTCTTAAGAAATTAGTTAGTATTGGAGTAAAAAGTTTTGTTGTCTCTTTGTATCATAAAATTGTAATATTTGTTAAAATATACATAATTCTGTTGTTCCTTCATTAGGAATAACATTCTATATGCTTATAGATTTTCTCTGTAATTATAAGCTAAGGGAGGTTTCAAATAGAAATGAAATAGAAATTAATGGGTGGTCTGTAAATATGTGAAAATTATGCTCCTTATTTGGTGTGCAGCACACATTTCCTCTTAATTTTTCTTCCAGAAAGCAATGGAGTGGAGATGAACATTCCCTAAGAGTTTCCTGAGGTCCCTTATAGTCTTAGTATAGGCAGGTCTTTGTAACATTTCCACACAATTTCTATTTCCTGTTTGCAGTCTACCTTTCAAAGTAGAATGTAAGGTTTTTTGGGGAAGAGATTATGTCTACTTTGTTTCTCTGCATGTACAGCACTTACCTGTGACAACAGCTAGTAGCTTATCAATATTCTTTGAATGAAAGACTAACATTTTTAATGTGTTGAATAGTGAAGACCTTGATATAACTGAATGCATTCTTAAAAGTCTCACAGGTTTTCCCTTTCTTGTGTAAGGAAAATGAAATCCACACACTTGCAGTGGTATTGCTATGTAATAATTTCTATTAACAGATCTCTTTATTTCACTTTTTGTGACTCTCTTACTTTGAGACAAACATTTTGAATGAATAAAATAGGATCATTCCTGTTTAAAATAAAGGAAATCAGAAGTGAATAAACAGGAGTAGATTTACCTTAGGTAGAGGTCTGGCAGGTTTGCAGTGGAGTCCTCCAACAAAATCAAAATTTGGTAACATTGGGCGAGGAAATTCCACATCCCAGTAAGTTCTAATGAGCCATATATCTACTTTCCCCATTGTCTCAGACAAGGTAGTGGGTCTTCCTGAAGGAGAAAAAGAATACAAAAGCTATAGAATATGAGAAAATTGTCCGGTGAACATTAATATGCCAGGTGACTTTCAGGAAGAACTTTCAGTAATATAGTCAAAGATGTTTAAAAGCACTTAGAGAAAAGGTTAGATCAAAAAGAATTAACCTAGAAGGTAACACCCATGCACAGGAAATCAATGTGAGTCAATGCCCTGTATAGCTATCCTTAT